CATCCATCCATCCATCCATCCATGCGATACCGATTGTCTACCCCCCGCCAGGAGCCGGACCTCGTCGTGATCGTCGCTGCCGTGCTTGGTTTGGCAGTGGGCATCAGCTTCATGGGTGTCTTTGACGTGATCGGCGACACGATTCTCTACTGCCTTGCCTTGGAGATGCCTCTTGGCGGATCTGTTAAGAGGGTTTGCAATGATTTCTAAAAGGGTTTTTACATATTCTTATCTAGACTAGGGTTTTGTCAGGTTTTACAAGGATTTTACAAGGGTGTTGTCGGGTTTTGCAAGGGTTGCTTTGGGGGTTTCCGGTGCCATTGACCCCAACCCTAATGCTTGGAAAAAGGGGGATGTTAGAATAGCATAACGACATGCAGGACTTTAACTGAACATTCTATTACTAATGTTTCCGACCCCGAGAGTAGGGTGGCCTGACCCCCTGAAACTAAAATCCCGAAGCCCTCTGTCCCCGAAACCCTAATGAAGAGCCTTAGTAATTAGAATAGGGGTTTGGGGGTTCCTTATTCGATTTAGGGCATATTATACCCCTCAAGCCCTCTTCAAATTATTAAGGCCCCTCTTTTTAGACACTTTTGACCCCAAGTTGCAACCTCAAGCCCCTCAATCCTGAAGTTTTGTCCTGGGTCCACAGCCCTAATAGACTCTGAACACCTTGCTTTCCTCTTTTACTTCACAGACTTCCTGTCTTGAGATCTCTCTCTAAACCCTATACCCTAAACCCTTGAAGAACAACACTGAAACCCTTACATCCTGAAGCCCTAAACCCTAAGCCTAAACCCTGAAACAAGCACATCTAGACCCTGAAGCGCTTAAATCCTAAACCTTGAAAACCCCTAAATCCTTCAAGCTCTAAATCCTAAACCCTGAACCATAGATACTGTAGGGGCCTTAATAATTAGAATAGGGTCTGGGGTATATTAGAACTATAATCAGGAGCCCCCCCCCAAACCCTATTCTTATTATTCAGGCCCCTACATTATCCCCCAGACCCACCCAAAACGATGACTCCCTCCGCTCAACAAACGTAAAGCGCAGGCACCGAGACGAGGCCGCCAGTCGCAGACAATCCGTACTTGGGGCTTTGGGGTTCGGGGCCTTAGGGTTCAGGGTTTAGGACCTTTAGGAGTTTAGGGTATAAGGTTTAGGGTGTAGGACGGGTTTAGGTATGGGACCTTTCTTTGACGGCTTGGGGAGAGAGAATTTAAGGGTTTGGTGGTTCGAGGGTTTCAGGGTTTACGGGTTAGGGTTTAGGGTTAAGGGGTTTGGGTTTAGAGTTTGGGGGTTAGGGTTTAAGGGCTTGAGGGTTTAAGGGTATAAGCGTCTAAGTTTGGGGTTTAGGTGTAGGACCATTAGAACCCTAAACAGCTTAGGGTCTAGAGACGTTTAGAGTTCAGGATCCTTACTGTTACAAGCACCCCTTTATCAGGTACCCCTAGCCCAAAAACCCCAACCCTTCCAACGCCTAAACCCTAAACAGAGCCCAAACCCTAAACCCCAAACCCTAACTAAACCCTAAACCCTTAACCCTGAACCCTGAACCCTGAACCCTAAACCCTAAACCCTAAACCCCTAAACCCTAAAAATTTAAAACCCTAAACCCTAAACCCTAAGACTCCTAAACCCTAAACCATTCTAAATCCTCAACCCTAAACCCTAAAACCTTAAACCCCTCCAGGTGAGGGCTCAGGAGAGAGAAGAGTCGGGTTGGTGCACGGGCCGGGACGGCAACTCGGGAGGTGTCGCGGCCTGGAAGGGTGGAACGAATGTGTTAGGCTTCCTAGTGTTGGGTTTAGGGTTTAGGCTTCCTAGTTTTGGGTTTAAGGGTTGAAGGTTTAGACTTCCTACTGGTAGTTTTGGTGTTGGGTTTAGGCTTCCTATTTTGGGGTTTTGGGTTTAGGGTTTAGGGTTTGGTTTTGTTGTTCGTGCCTGTTTTTAAATGGATTTCAACGGGGAGGTGTCTGTAGTGGTTTAGGATGTCCATGAGGATTCACACCTTTTGTCGTGCGTAGGGCCTGCGTTGTCTGTAGCGTTGTCTGCAGGGTTGTCCAATAGGGATGCATAGACAAGGTTTAGAGCTTGATTTTGCGGTTTTTACGCTGCTTGCACAGGGGCGTATAGTTTTGTTGTAAACTGCAGAAAGTCCCTGGAGCTTGAACCCGACAAAGCTTGTGCTTCAGAGATTAGCTGCGGCTCTTTCGATGTTTGTCTCGTAGGATCGGGTATAGCTGAAGTTTGCACAACCCTGAGATATGCCCAGGTTTCTTCACTTGGATGTTCTGGGGGGACGATGAGCCGGAGCACGAGCACCATCCACCTCTGCGCTTTGCCCCGATGTGCTTGAAGGATTTGGTGCAGCCACGAGGAAGAGCTCGGTGAGTCCCAGACTTGGGGTTCGGGCTTTTAGCGTTTGGGGTTTAGAGGTTTAGAGGCTTATGGGGTTTAGGGTTTAGGGGCTTTGGGTTTAGGGTTTAGGGGCTTAGGGTTTAGGGTTTAGGGGCTTTGGGTTTAGGGTTTAGGGGCTTAGGGGTGGGCACCGTCAGGTTTGAAGCGGCCGCTTGGCCTAATAGGGGCCTCAGTAACTAGTACCACCCTAAACCCTTAAGCCTACCTTCTAGCGTCGGAGTCATTCTGCTTGAAGCTTTGAAATTTGCAAGACCCTGTTCTACTTTGTGAGGCCCCTATAATTAGTCTTTTCCTTCGAGAAGCGCAGTGCAGGTCCTGAGTTTAGGGTTAAGGGGGCGCGAAGTACACGTATGATCCTCCCGGCTCTCGAGCCCAGAGACCACAGACGCAAGCTGGAAGTAGAACTCTAGCGCTTTGGGTCTTATTCGCTCTTCTTCATGTTATAATTCATGCCAAGGGCTCCTTTGAAGGAGCTTTCCGTGGTTCCTTCTCCGGGGAGTTTTTTTCAAGCTCGCGGTATGGCTGTTAATGTTGGTCTGTTTTCCAATTTTGAAATCATCGCTCGGATGCACAAGGCATCCACGGCTCCCTGTGGCACTGAAGATGTCATGCACGCGCCAACGACGAACCCAAATGGGAGTTTCGGAGAAAACGCGGTTGCCGTTCAGTGCAGAACAGAAGCCCCCGACAAGGCCTGTCATGGATGGAAGCCTCTTGTCTGCTGAACTTCCGGAGCAGTTCACCACAGGGGTCAGCATTGTTTGTGCAGTGCCCCTTTCGGTCTTCTCCATTCTTGAACTACGTACCACAGAACCCCGTCCTAACAAGCCCGAAGCTAGTTCCGAGGGCCGTTGATTCAAGCGGTAGAGCGTCTCTGAGTGCTGGGTTAGCAATATTTGGAGTCTTGATAGCAGTGGTGCGAGTTTAGGGCTCAGCCCAGCCCGAACATTGAACCCTAGACCCTCACTGCTGAACCCTGTTTGCTTGCAGCCCGAAAGCACGAAGAGACTGCCAAACTCTACAGCACGGGCAGCGTGGTGGCGCTAGATCTGGCCCCACGCCGCAGCAGCCGTTTGCCCTCAACCCTACACTGCTACACCCCTATAAAATCCCCAAGCCCTTAACACTGAAGCCCCAGACATTGTAGTTTTTGGTCGACCCTGAAGAGGCTGAAGACTGGACTCTACGACTGCCGCAACTTCCCAAAGAGTCTGGAGCTGGCTCCTCCACAGATGCTCGGCAGTAGTACCCTTAGATTGCTTAGGGTTAGGGTACGGTCAGGGTTCAGGGTTTAGGTTTAGTAAGGACTTAGGGTTTATAGGGCCGTTAGTGGTTAGGGGTTTAGGGGGTTCGGGCCTCTAGGATGTGTAGGGCTTAGGGGGCTTAGGGTTTAGGGCATAGGGGTTTAAGGCTTTGGGGTCTCGGGTTTCGGAGAGTTTGCAGGAGGAACTGGTGCCCTGAGCCTTCAGAGGATCCTGGGAGAACCAAGGATGTGGGAAGAGTTCGACTTCACCTGCGCCATGGCCAGGTCAAGGGGTTTAGAGTCTTAGGCTTTAGGGTTTGGGGTTTGGGGTTTGGGGGGTTTTGGGTCTAGGGCGTTGGGTTCAGGGTTCAGGGCCGTTTAGGGTTCAAGGTGAAGGGTAATACCGCTTCTCTGGGCTGCTCTTTCTGGTTATCTCGAACCTACCGCAAAAGCCTGTCTTAAGGCAGCCATATTTTCCAGATCTTCTAACCGAGGAGCATTCAATCTTTAGGGTTTTGCTGGTCTGCCGTAGGCTTTGGGTGTTTCGGGGTCTGGGGTGTGGGGCTCCTAAACCCTAAACCCGAAAGCCAAGGCCGTTCAGCCAGTGTCCGAACCAAGCCTCCGAACCACGAATAACCTGTAACTTAGTGGCTGAGTAGGTAACCTTTAACCTTTTGGGGCTCTTATAATCCTACTATAAGGTTACCCTTTTTGGGCTAGGGTACTCAGCCCCTAAGGTAATGTAGGGGCCTTATGTATAATAGAATAGGGTTTTGGGGTATATCATACTATAACTCTGATAAAAAAACCCAAAACTTTATTTTAATTATTAAGGCCCTACATTACCCCAAGATAGCGGCACCCGCAGCCCCAACCCCTGACCCGCAAAGCCCCTTGACAAATCCCACAGACCCTACGCCCTACACCCCTCCTTTAAAAAAAGCGCAAAAGCCCCCGAAACAGAGTCATAGATAGGAATAAGTCTCTTCCCCCAGGTGCCGACAAGCCGGCGCCTTGGGAGTCTCTCCAAGGAAAACTTTGGGGGTGGCTTTTGTCCAGATGTCTCACGCCCCCAAGATCTCCCCGCAACGCCTCAGCCCCCTATCCTGGAGCCCGAAAGCTCCACAGCGGGAAAGCCCCCAAGCCGCCAAGCCCCCAAACCTGTCGGCCTCAACCCTAAACCCCAAACAGGGTTCCGGCAAGGCTTGAGTCTCAGCTTCAGCAGAAGCGCCACCTGACCTTCTCAGTGCCGCCCTGTGCGGAGGCCGTCTGTGGAGGTTTAGGGTTTAGGGTGTTTGAGTTCTTCTGCTTTTTTGCCGTGTCGTCGAGGTTCCTGTGGTGGTAAGCCCTAAACCCTGAACCCCAAACCCAGAGTTTGGGGCTGCAGGTTTTGAGGTTGAGACGTTTAGAGATTTAGGGGTTTAGAGACTTTACACTTCGTTCGGTGGTAATGTAGACCCCCGATTCATCACCCCCCCCCCCCCTTACCTTAGAGGTATCTCCGTTTCATGGTCATCAGAGAAAAGGGGGGGGATGATGAATTGGTGGCTACATCAAGGGTTGGGGGCTTTGGGATTTTGGGTTGAGGGTCCGGGTTATGGAGGCTTTAGGGTCTAGGGCGGGTTTAGAACACGGGTATCTGGCGCTAAACCTTAAACCCTAAACCGTGAATTTAAGTATGCCGGTCGTTCAGTCTGATCGTGTCACTGTACGTCCACAGGCAGTAAGCTTTCTGGAGCTTGCCGGCTTGAGCAACTATGCTCTTTTTTTCTGGGTTTACAGCTCAGGGCAAGGGAGGGATGTGTGGATATCCTAAAGCCCTAAAGACCTATAAGCCTTAAACCCTCAAGTCCTAGAAGGCCATGATATGGATTTCTCCGCATCTCGCCGTTTAAAGGAAGCTTCCTCCCCAAGGAAGCCCTTCAAAACCCCCAACCTGCGCCTGACACAGAAAGCTCGCTAGACCCCAGGTTGAGTCCCAAACATACCCATAGGCCCCATAGTACAGT